CTGCATTCCCAGCCAGAAGATGTCATCTTAGCGTGATAGGCTATGTGGAGCCCTACCGGGTCCAGGAAGTTTCTATTTGTAATCCCATGCGAAAGTTATTGGAATTCTAACGAATTAATTCCAAATCTAACACTTACAGTGCAACCCACAGCAAGAATAAAGACACTAAGGCATATCTGTAGTTGTAGGAAGCCAAGGGGATCCTAAGTTCAGCTAGGGTGATGGTTAACCAGAACAAAGGTCTCAACCTACGGCCGAGCCCGGGTTTCATTCATTCATGAAGAAGCGAGTGGTCCAAGGATACGTGACTGAGAACAGGGGGAAGTACATAAGTACTGTGAGCAGGAGGCCCATCACCTCTGCAGTGTACAGGGAGAAGGACATGCAGAAAGAATAATCTGCATAACACAGTCTGCAGCAATACCTAACACTTTGGGGTTAGTGCTTTTTCTGTGATATATAACCTTTCATGCCCTGGAAAGTCATAGCCTCTTATCTTGAGACTTGATCCCAGTCAATGGCATGGAGAGGTCTCTCCCACCCATCAGCTCACACATGTTTTGGGGGAGGTGTGGGAGTGGGGGTAAAACTAACCTGTTGCCTCACTTCAAAGACTATACATCAGCACCTCTAGCGAGACCAATCTGCATTGCTTAAAATTAGTTGAAGTGTCAAGGAAAGTCCTAACCAGCTCTGTACATATCAATACATGAAATAGGGCCAGATGGAGCCAAAATGGAGATAATCACTCTTCTTTCAAGGAGGGCCATCCAGGTGGTCCTCCCCAATAGATTTTCCATTTCAAGAAGATAATGTGCATCTTCTTAGAGTGATCCACCACTGACAATCAGCTCGCTGGCTTCTTCCCAGCTTATACTTGTCAGTCCTGAAAGGGAGCTTTCTGGTAACTCTCAAATTACTCCTCTTTGTCTGTAACCCTTCTGTTTGTGCTCCACTAATGTTGTACTACGGTTACTCTTCACACTGGACACCACAAATAATTCTGTTCTTTCAGTTCTCATAATGGGCCCACAACGAGGTGTTTGTGCCATTCTAACTTTTGGAATACAGTTTGAGTCTGTTTTCTGTTGCTATAGCAAAATTCTCAAGGTTGAGGCATGTATGTAGAAACTAGGTTTATTTAGCTCACAATTTTAGGGAATGAGAATCCAAAATCTTCAGCCCCATCTATTTGGCTACTTGGTTACAATCCCTACAACAGTGTCAGAACATGGCAGAGAAATAAATGGTCACATGCAGAAGGGCTAAAAATCCATGGAGTGGGGTGGCCTGGATTTATTACAACTCACACTTGTGAAAACCTACCCATTCCAGGAGACCAGCATTAATCCCTCCCAAGGAAATGTCTGGATTAAGGATTAATGATCTGCCGCTCAAAGTTCCACCACCTCAGCGCCCTCCAGCGCATTAAACTTTAGTGGACACATTGGAGCCATATCCAAACCCTAACCCATGCTACGTGTCACATCTCCACTGCACAGAGTAGTTATTCGCTCCAGTGATTATTTCTTGAATACCAGGCACTAAGCAAGATTGGCTTGGAAGAGTCATCAGGGTGCGAAAAAATGGAGGGGACAAGAGATGTGATATATGGAAAACACATGGTCAAGCTGGTCTGAGAAAAGCCACTAATCTCTTAATAGATAAATTCCATGCCAGAGAAGATGGTTTTATTACCGTATTCCTAGTACCTGCTATAAGAACTGATACATAGTTGACATTCGGTTAATAGTCATTGAGTGAACGAATCCATTAACAAGATACAACTCTCATTCTAAAGAAGCTTGCACTAATAAACTAGGACTAAAGAATTGATAGCAAGTCTTCCCATAAAGTGGGAACAAGGACTTGAAGTCAGTCTTTTTAAAACTATGTCTTTTTCTGTGTTATGACCTGTCATTGGACTCCAAATATAAATAACCTAAATATTCACCTTGCTTTGTATCACTGATATAAGCACTGTCCTTTCGGGGCAACTGGTAGACCCTAAGGAACAATGAAACCAGACAGATAGTTTACGGTTCACTCATGTACTAAGGAGACCTAATTTCTGAAAACTTCTCTGAATACATAAAGGAGAAATTTCCTGTTCGAGAATAAATTCAAAATTACAAGTAAGGTTATCAAAGTCATCAACATCTTTCTATTCTGTGAAAGTGTCGGTGTTGAGGACCAGGCTCAGCTCATAGCTGCACCTTCTGTTTGATGCTATTACAATTCGTTTTCTAGCTTGAAAATCCCTTGGTTTAGGCCTGCAGAAAAAAAAAAAAATCATTCTTTCAGGAAAGAAAATTATCTCCTCAAATGAGAGCAAATTACACTATTGAACATAGCAAGTCCTTGTTCCCAAGTAAACACAAAAAGGCTTTTTGTGAGAGAAATTTTCAGCACTGAGGGTAACTCTGACCCGTGAGCATATTGTTAGCTCCCACGGATTCCTGTAGGAGCAGTGCCCAGATGGAGTATCACACTGAGGCTCTTGCAAGGCTCTCTGGCTACTGCTGATACTGGTTGATGCACGTGAAGGAAACTGCTTTAGCCACAAATAATAGACAACAAGAACATTTAGTGATAAAATAGAATGCCGTTTGGACTACAGACATTTTCATAATGCAGAGTGCTGTGCAAAGTTTTGGGTAGATATGTTTATTTCTGGTAATGATATGACTGCTTTGCAGCAAAGGCTTGCTCGATATAAATTGAGGCTAGTGGTGGTCATACATTATGTATAATATTGAGGAACTCTCCCACAGAAACCTACATTTCCTGAGTAGCAAAACATATCATACAGAAACTCTGAGCACAATTTCTCTAGTCAACTCAAGAGGTTGAAGCTGACAGATCATATACAGAAACAGAGTTGTCTAGAAAATTTTACCCTGGATTCTGTTTTCAGCAGAAAGACAAAGTATTCATCTCTTTAATTCATTAATGCTTTAGACTAGAGATACTCAAGTTTAAACATGAGTTAGTGCTGTCTCATACATCCATAAACATTTTCTTACTGTGCGTGTAACATTCATTCCTCACATTCCTTCACCTCAAGCAGCAGTCTTTCTAATGAAAAAATTTCAAACTAAATGTCTGACAAAATGATGTTATATTTCTCTTTTCACACACTGAGGTAATCAGGCAGGAAAAGCAAATAAATCATTTTCATTTGGGGTGAAGGCATTCATATTTGATAAGTGATTTGAAAGTAAAATGAACTCTTACATAAACATTTTACATTTTTATAGACTTTATTGGTGTTTTTACAGGAAAGAATCATTATCAAAGGAATTATGCACATATAAAATATGTATGACAAAGTACAGTTATGGATAATTTGTGTTAGAGAAATAAAAGTATCTTGCCATTTAAGTTCGTATTTTAATGAAAGGATTGGAGGAAGAACCTAATGATTTAAAGTTTCTGAGAGCACCATTCATGACAATAAAAATAGAAATGTTTTGTTTTATATAAGCATAGGATTGCTACCTAGAAATACAGCCACAAGAAATAAAGAACAGGAAACAACAAATTGCGGAGAGAGGAGGAGGAAACAACTAAAAATTGCATTAGAAAATCTGTCTTTAAAAATGTCATCTACATTTTTATGTGGTCCATTGGATGGCTGCCAAATCAGAGTTACACTAGAAATGTAGTTTGGAAACCTAGAATATACACTTTGTTTCCCATCCGTGCTCCACCCCAGAAATTCTTTCCTACCGTGCTTAAAGCATCACTCGGTAATGACTTCTGCATTTCTTATGTGTGATAGGGGCCTTAGGCTGCACTGAAATCTTATAAAACTGTTTATAACATATTCTACACTGAAGAAAAGCAAGCTGACAAATTACCCCTACCTTTAGCTTTGTACCCTTCTGGCTAGAGCTTCGATTGAAAACTGGGGAACTATTTTAACATGACTGCCGCTGAGAAGAGAGATGATATATAACCACCTCGGAGAATAAGTAATGCCAGATTATACTTCCCAGCATTCTTTTGGTGGTATAGGACATGTACTGAGGGTATACTTCATATTAACATATTTTTATTGAGAATCTACCCTGTGCCAGGTACTAAGCAACTCTTGATGGAGGTTAGAAAGATGAAAGGAACATAATTATGTCTTCAAGGGGTCTGCACTCAGGCAGGGGATAGAAAACGCTGCAGCTAAATGAAAGCTGTCTGATAAGCAGCTTCGATGGTCTGGCATACGCATGGCCACCTTCAAAAAAGCAGCTTACAACTTCTCTTGCGGCGAGATGTGAGCTCTGCCCCACGCAAGACTCAATCACTGGCTACTCTGCCCAAGCTCACCTTTTGGAAATTTGAACGAGACATGCGGAGAAAGTAACTCATAGGTGATGTGAATGGAGTTGAGAAGCAGAGGTAGAAGTTTGCCAAGTCACCTGTGATGACAGAAAACTAGGACAAGAAGCTCTGGATCATACGTGGCTTGAGGTGAGCCGAGGAGGGTGGCAGAGCACTGCCACTCCTCCTGAGCCTGGCACAGCAGGGTCCTGGTAGACGTTCATTTCTTGTTCTTTCTTTTGCTTCCCCTGCAATCTCCACAGCACATTTCTGCTTATTAGGGAGTAATGTGGGTGTGCCTGTTCCTTAGACCCTAAAAAGTCCCCTCCTACCACAACAGATGATGGAAGGTCACATCCCAGCGGCAGGGATCTTCTTAGTCTGCAATTTCAGCATCAGGCACACAGAGGTCACAAAGATGTTTGAACAAACAAAAGAAATGGATAAAGCCTGGTGAGAGTTAAGACGAATGGAAATTCCTTCTTGCTGAGCGAATCAGCAAGACAAAGCTTTATGGTAACAGAGTCACTGGAACAGGCCCATGAGTAAGGCAGTACCCATAATGTCTCAGGGCACAATACCGCACTATTCGGAATTTATAAACTCACATTTCCCCCAGCCTGCTCTCTCACAATGGGACTTCTAAACTGTTTTTCAGGTTTAATGTTGTCGTGCAACTTTTTAAGGCAATGATGAAAGCACTAAACGGGACACAGTGAAAACTGTTGTCCGAGGGTAGCCTCTTTTGAAGGTATTCTTTTCCCCATTAACAGGTGTCATATTCATATCTATACTGTCCTCCCCTCTGAGCTTGCTTTACTAACACTAGAAGAGCCGGAAGGATTCCAACAAGGCACCAAGAGTTCCAGACAGCAAACAGAATCACAGTGGCCGGGCAAGTCGGTGAGTAAAGATTAGCTTCAAGTAAAGCACCTGAGGGGAACATTCATGGCGAAGGAGATGGAAAAGCAGATTCCTGTTTGACCTTTATGCTGCTGGTGTTTATGCTGTAGGCATTTATGACTTCTAAACAAGGGACGAATGTCAGCACTGTAATTCGTGTGTAAACAGCACATGTGGATTTGAATAGAGAAAAAACGATAGTAGGGAGAGGCCAGTTAAGAACTCAGTGAGTGGGGGCTGGGGATTTAGCTCAGCGGCATAAGCGCCTGCCTTGCAAGCAGGCGGTCGTGAGTTCGATCCCTGGTACCAATGAAATAGACAAAAAAAAAAAAAAAATAAAGAAAAAAAAAAAAAAAGAACTCAGTGAAAAGTTTAAGTGAGCAATAATGTGTATTATCATTGTTTTAAAATTGCATACACTTTTCAGTCATTTAGTACTTGTGCTGGTGCATGCATTTACATATATCCTCATTATTTACCGCAGCACTTCATGGCAAACCAGCATCTGAGCAAGACCTCCCATCTTTCTGTAATTTATAGCAATGAGATAGTATATTAGATGCACATTCTCTAATAGCTTGTCTCTTCAACAGCACATAAGGAAAACTGGTAACCACTCCACACATTGTTTACTATTCCTGATAGACAGGAACCAGTCTTTAGCCTTAAAAAATAACAATAATGCTTTTCCTCCACATGCTCTGGGAATTCTCAGATTTGAAAGAAAACCAAAAGCAATCTGCCTTTGGACATCGATGCAGTAATGTCTGGTTCATACAACTTGGGATGTTATAAACTCACATTTCACCCTGTGAACTTACATGCATTACCACGGTTTACCTCAGCCGTCTGAAACCACGCTTCTGATGAATGGTTTTCAAGGGTCTCACTCCAGAAATATTAGAAAAAGATAGCTCAACACATTTATCGATGATGACATTAAAGCCTGGTTTTTCTTTCTTCTTTTTCTGCGTTTGGTAGGGTTTCTCACTTTGTTTAGGAAAATAAAAAATTAGACCAATGATTTTTCAGCTTTTCTCTCTGAGACACGAATAATGGAGGATAATCACACTCATAATATATTCTCGTAAGAACTAACTGCACTGAGAAAGCATGTGATAAGCCAACTTGAGAAGCCTTGTGCTTGGGATAACCTCAACAGCACTAAAAATTGAAAAACCGATTGGTATAAAGTACCTTAGTTACAAACAACTTACAGATACCCTCACAACTAAACATGGCAACACTTTGCTTCCCTGAAAGCTACTAGACTCCTCCACACTGTCACCATCAAGCATTTTTTCAGTGTGTGCAAGGCACGTATGCACATTGAAGCCTACGTCAGAGAGATGCTCATTTTTCCATTATTACCTCTGTTTGTTGAATATTTACATTTCCAAACTATCAGAATTCCACAGATCGCATAGTGTATGTTCTTTGGCTTTATTGATGTACCATGCTCAAACATGACAGATTTTTCACCCAGAATATTAGATTGGTTATTGAGAGTTAATTTTGTTTGGTTTGTTTCACTGAAACTGATTTGAGACTAATAGCTTTTCTGAAGCATAAAGAAAAAACAAGAAATATTCAAGATAGGTTCCAGGGTAGGTAAGTGCCTGTCACATAAAATTGTGTGGAGACTGAGCTCGTGATTTTATGTATAACAGAATTCATTTGGGTAATCCTGCTATTAACTTTTTAAAACAGCACAAACTGTACAGTACTCAAAGCCCGCAGACACAGCTGAAGGGAATATGTATTTGTTCTTGCTTGTTGACGGAATAGTTGGTTACAGGATGACTTGCTGAAAATACATATTTATTGTGTTTTAGTGTGTTTTCTTGGTTGATCACATTCGTATTCATTCTGACACATGTCAGAATGCATCTGAGGAATTCTTTACTTTCTTATTTAATAAATATTTGTGAGTGTCTATTGTGGGTTCCAGTGATAGGAAATTCATAGGAGATAAAATAGACACAAATCCCAGCTCTGGTGTAGCTTAACTTCTACTTCAAGGAGGACAGACTGTGAACAAATAAATGAGTGAAACATATTGGATGGCAGATGGTGGTAAATTTTAGGAAAAAACACAAATGAAAAAGAGTTGGGATATAAATCGCTCTTTAAAAAATAAGGTGGTCAAGGAAGACTTCACTGAGAAAGGACATTCCAGCAAAGAGCTGAAATGGGAAGAGAGCAAATCATGTGGTTTTATGGAGAAAGAAATTCAAGCTAGGAAGAATAATACATTCAAAGGCCCTGGGGTAAGTATCTGCCTGTAATAATGTAGAAGCAAAAGATCACACCAAGGGAAGAAAAATAGGCATGCAATTAGAAAGGTAAGGGGCCTCGTGTGGCATTTGAATAAGATGAGAAGCCATTGGAGGTTGTAAAGAGTGACAAGATTTTATTGTGACTATCTTGGACATTAAAGGAGAGTAGACAATAATGTGAGGTCACTGATATGATGGCTTTCAGGAAGCCAGACATTTTATGGAGTTAGGCTAAGGTTCAGTGGTCAAATTAAGGCTGTAAAATGTCATAGCAGTGGTGGTTTGGTTTGTTTCTGAAAAAAAAAATGAAGGAAAAAAGGAAGCAGAGAAGAAGGAAGAGAAGCAGAGAACAAACTAAGAAAAGAAGGAGGAAGAAAGAAAGAGTAAAAAAAATGAAAGTGATCAAGAATTGTCAAGGTATTGACAAGAGAAGCTTTCATTACAGCAGTGTAGCCTGTTCTCCTGGTGAGCAAAAACAGTTTGGTGACAATATGGTGCTTTTATAATCATAACGAACACACAGCAAGCCTTCAAGCCAGGACAAGATCTGCTACCCTGTTTGTCAGTTAAACTGTCTGCAAAGTACATAAAAATTATATTTGGAAATATTTCATTGGCAACTTGGGAAATTCAATTAATTAATATTTGCAAAGTACAGCAAGATCCTCAAAAACACAAGACTGACCTAAAAAACAAGAGTTTTTAATTATTGCAAAGAAGTATATTCTTTGGGCATCTGTTTCACTCTATCCAGTACGTGAGCAATACTTTTTCCTAATTACCATAATAAGTAGAATCTGTGTAACAGGGATTCAGCCTATTCTGAAGAGTAAAATGGTCAGTTTGAAAAGGCAATTGTTGCACTGGTCTGTAAGTTCAGCCCGATTTTTAAATTAAAAGTTCTTTAGAACAGTGAGTCTCAAAGTGTGGTCCAGGCGCACCTACATATTCTGATATGTTTCCAGGAGGTCAATGGGATCAAAGAGATAAAAGATTCCTAACAATCTGGGAACGTGATTTTCCTTTTTCACTTTCATGAGTGTATAGTGGGCTTTTCCAGAAATATATGCGATATCTAAACAGAATGCAGGGACCGATGTCCAGCTTCTGTTTAAGCAGGACATTAAGGTGATTTGCAAGCATGGTGAAACAATGCCACTCTTCAGAAGACCTAAACCGACACTTTCAAAAGAAGGCATACAAGTGGCCTTGAGGAAAACTGCTCAACTTCATTAACCAGCAGGCAACTACAAGTCAAAAATGCACAAGCTAACAAACGCTGGTAAGAATGTGGAGGAAAGGGAATACAGATGAGCGGAGCCTTAGGAAAAATACAGTGGAAGCTCTTCAAAATATTAAAAATAGAACTTCCAAGCGGCCCAGCAAACCCAGTAAGCTTGAGACCAGCCTGGGCAACATGGTGAGACTTCATCTCATAATGTATATATAAATAATAAAAATTAAAAATAAATGAGTGAATTGTATGCTGTGAGAATAATGTCTCAGTAAATCTACTCTATAAGGAACGTGCCGCCTCTCACTTTTTAAAATGCAGCTTTTTTATAACCATGTATGTTAACATGCAAATTTAACCATAAAACACTGCTTTAGAATTTGAGCTCAAAGAGAATAGAAATGTTTGTTTGTTGTAAGCATTTCTGCATCCCAAATATACCAAACAATGCCTAGCATATAAGAAGTGCTCAGTAACTATAAATACGTGGAAAGATCAAGATATATTATTAGCATATTAGTGTAACTACTATGAATGCCTTAAGGGTCTGTAACAAATGGTAATGTTTGAGTTTGTTAAGATTCGGACATATATTAAGGGTAGAATTAGTTTATGCAGATGTGAGAATGGTTCATAAAAAGAATTCAGAATAAAATAAAAAGATCATTTATTTTTCAATTTACAACCTCTCTACATTGACAGACCCCAATATAAGAAGTTATTTGATAAATAAGAATATCTTTTAGAGAATCTAGACAATTTTAACCAAAAAATGACTTGCTTTGTTCAGCTGAGGATACATGGATGGCAAATGAGATGCCTGTTTTGAAAGGGTTAATGCCCCTAGATTCCAGAATGTTAAACTGATGTGCACAAATAAAACTCAATAGTCATGCATCACTTAATGATGAGAATGCCTTCTGAGAAATGCCACAGTATGTGATTTTATCTTTGTTCAAACACCACAGAATGTATTTGCACAAATCTAGATGATCAATGGTAGTATCTACCTAGGTATACAACGTGTACCATCATGAAGAGGTTTTGGTCCCAGCATGCAGTGCATGACTATATTTGAATACACCTTGTGTGAGTGGTATCAAAGCTCCTCACTACATATCTAATAACTGTAAGTAGAGAAGAGAAACAGAAACTAGGAAAGTGAAGCTTGTGATTAGTCACATCTTTGGGGAAATTAGAATGCAGCAATTTTTTAATTACTTCAAATATCTAATCTTAAAAATAAAACAAGTACTACATGAAATATTATTGCCTTGTATAGATTAAATAAAAGCAAAAGACCACAATTAATGTGTAGAATCTTCATCTTGGGTGGATTATTAGTCCTACTTTACTTATAGCAACTAATCAAAATATGTTAATTAAGTGGCTTCTATGTGCCAAGTTCTGTCTGGGCCTTGAGACTCTCTGGCTCATGAATTTTATATTTCAGGGAAGGCAAAATGCAAGCAAACAAACGATCAAGGTAATTTCAGACATGAAAAGCTCTGAGAATAAAAGAGGACAGCATGTAAAAGAGAGATTACACGAAGGGTAGCAGTTAGGGAACGGAGTAGGGAATGGTGATTTAGATTGGGCGCTGCTGATTTCCCAGTGAAGAGCTGGTATTAATGAAGACCAGAGACCTGAAAGGTTGGAGGCAGCGATTCACAGGAGACTGCCCCCTGCAAATAAGCGCGTGGTGTGATCAGGAGGCAAAAACTAGTTGACAAAATGGCTTGAGGGAGTTTGAATTTTATTCTGAGTCCAATGAGTAGCCATTGGAGATCTTGATCTGGTCACGTGGTCCATGTTTCATCTGTAAAATATTAATCCAGCTGCTCCATGGGGAATGCACGGCACAGGAACAAGAACAGAAGCCGGAGACCTGTTAGCAGCTGACGGTGCCCTGGGGAAGGATGATGCTGGCCTGCACTTCAGGATGGTGGTGAGCAAAATAAGAAGTAGACAGGCATGAGATAGAATTTTGTTTCTGAAACAGTGTAGAAGCTTTGTCTGGATCACCGGAGTTTTGTTACTGTTATTTTATTACTCTTAAACACAAAGCTTGCAGACAGTGCGGACTTGTTCTAGCTCACAAGACCAGTGAATAAGCCAGTGCAAAATTCCAGCTATGTCTAGGCACCGCTATCGCCATCCACAAAGTGCCCTACCTAAGGTCTTTTTTCCTCCCAGTCTTTTCTGCATGTAACAGCCATTCTAATCTTCCTCAAACACTGCTTTCATCATGTTTACCTTGCTGATAAGCCGGTGTGTGTATTCACAGAGTTATTGAGTAATTGCAGTAACTGGGCTGGTATGGGTGGGTGGGGTTTACATACCTGAGATACATCTCTTGCCTCTAGGATGTTAGAGTTTACCTGTGGGGACATCACTAACCCCTATGAAGTAATGGAGAGTGTCTTAGTCACTTCTGGGTAATTGAGATAAAATACCTAACACAATTTAAAAGAGGAGAAGTGTATTTTGGCTTCCAGTGTTTAGATGATTCAGTTCATCCTTGGTGAACTCTGAGGCAGGAAGGGCATGGTACAAGGATCTGGGCACCAGAGGGCTGCTCATCCCATGGCAGCCACGAAGCAGAGAGAGAAGGGAGGCATTGGGGACAAGAACACCCTTCCAGGTCACACCTCAGTGACCCACCTCCAACCAGGTCCCACCTCCTGACAGTACCTTCAGCTGTGAACTCACCAGGGGACTAATAAGCTGATTTTTATGTACCCATGGGTACTCACAATCTAATCATCTTCTACACACTTGAGAAACTGGGGAGACCTTTTAGATCTAAAGTGTAACAGAGGCAAAAATAAAAAAGAGATGATGTAATTAACAGGGTCTTCATAAAAATGACTTCTATAACTTGAAAGAAAGAGAATTTCAGCAAACACAAACAAAAAAAGGTGTTGGCTAAGAAAGAAATAGGACATACGATATTGTTTCCATGGTAGAACGAGAGGATTCCCTTGAGAAGAGAGCATCTGCTATGAGAAGTGGAGAAGCAAACTCGTTGGGTAAGCTGGGAGTGCTGGTGCACACTTATAATTCCAGCACTTGGGGAGGCTGAAGCAGGAGAACCACACTTTTGAGACCAGTTAGACTGTACAGCAAGACCCTGCCTCAAAAAAGAAAAAAAAAAAAAGGCTACCAGGTTTAGTCATGGGGCTAAGATGGTACCAGAACATGGATTTCTCAAAAGCTGGGAATCAAGCATTTGGACTTGATTCAACCAAATATAAATGTTATTAAAGATTTGTGGGCAAGGTTAAGTATTAGTGAAGACTTAGCTGAGACCAGCAATCATTTCACCCTGCAATTTCTAAGAATTTATCATCTTTCAGAATTCATTAGGCACTTACCTTGCAACTGTTTGCTTTGTAACATACACACCCTGTATGTGTGCAACCAGCATGGAATAGGTGCAGGGAAAACATTTGACGAGGAGGAAAGAACTGCACAAGGAATATTTAACAATAGTATGGCCTGGATTGAAAAGAAAGCTAAGGAGAGGAGTGAGGAAGCTATTTCAGAAAAATAGCTGTGAAAGAAGAAAGGAAGAAGGGGTAGATATGAGAAAATACTTTGAAAATACGACTAAAGGTGCTGTAACTACAGATAACTACAGAGGTTCCCTGAGATAGTCCACTTAGAATCCAATGTAATACAGAGTGGGGAGGCCCAAACAGAGGGAGATTAATTCTCTCATCCCAAGAAGAAATTAAAGTGACTTGCCGAGCCGTCCGAGGTCCCGCTGCTTGGACTCTCTGGAGGCACAGTTACATTGAGTTCGAGAGTCAGTGAGCTGAACAGAGAGCTGAGTTGGCAGGGTGCCTACATTGACCTGTGGTGAGCGACGGGAGTGGAGCCATTCCATAAATAGGGGGGCTCCGGCAGATGACATTCTGGGACCAGGCAGGACTGGCAAGTACAAGGGGCAGCAGGGACTTCAGTCAGTTGTTCCCTTCCCAAACAGGATTGGTGGACTGAGCTAGGCCTGGGTCACATGACCTGGCTGACACCCTATAGGTTATCTGAAATCAAGTCCCTACAGCTGTGGCACACACTAACCACACTAACCCAGTGAAATCTCAGAAGATTGACTGACCCGGAGGGAAGGTGGTGCAAAGTAATATAGTGCAGGCCACAGCAGCTTGACTGACCCGGAGGGGAGGGGCCAGCATATGCTGTCCTTGTCTGCAACTCACTAGCACACTGCAGTGTGAAGGGTCATCTAGCCAGCGCACTTCAGAAGAATTGTAACCAACAAAGAAAGAAACTGGGGCCTCCTTGGAAGAAGCAAAAAAGATGGGAAGAGGGAGCAACAACAAAAAGTCCCCAGGTCCCAACCCTGAGAACATTGACCCAGGATAGGTAAATACAAAGGAGAATGAGAACAGCAAACATGCAGTATCAGATACAGCGCCAGTGGACATAAAGAGATGTGTTCGGGACCTCATAGATGAGTTCAAAAGTGAAATATTAAGCCAAATAAAGCAAGATATAAGAAGATTAATAAAAGAGATACTAAGCACCCCTCAAGCAGACACAGATGGAAGAAAGGAGGAACTCAAACAAAGGAGAGAACCATTTGGTGATGAATATAAAAAAATATAGAATACATGAAGCAGATTCAAAGAGATCACCAGAAAATTTAAAATTCTATGGAAAGATGGTAAATCAGCTTGAAAGAAACTAAGGATAGATAATCCAAACTGGAGGACAATTTTGCAATGTGGGAGTATAAAAGGGAAAACTTTTAAAAAATAACAAGGAAACAAGCAGTAACAATACAAAGGCTAGAAGATGACAAAAGGATCTATAACTTGAGAATAAAGAATGTGAATGAAGAAGCTGGGGTACAAACAATGGAACTACAAAGGTTATTCACAGAAATAATTAAGAAAAGCTTCCCAAACATAGGAAAAGGAAATGATATTCTGATATATGAGGCATACAGAACTCCAGCCACCTAAAACAGAGCTACACCCAGGCATATAATAATCAAAATCCCAGAAATTCAATATAAGAACAGAATATTAAAAGCTGTTAGAGACAAGAAACAGATAACCTACAGAGGAAGGCCCATCAGAATAACGGTAGACTTCTTGACACAAACCATCAAGTCAAGAAGAATCTAGAGTGAAATATTCCAAGCCCTGAAAGAAAATAACCTCCATCCCAGATTGATATACCCTGCTAAACTGTATCTAGAAATTATATGGAGAAACAAGATGCTTCCAAGACAAAGAGGAACTTGGGAAATTCGCAACCACCAATCCAACTCTACAGAGAATACTGCAGGGCATTCTAGAGAAAAAGAAAAGTACTAGGATTCCAGGAACAGTGGCAGAGAGGCCTCAATGAATGGAGCAGAAAACAGAATGAAGAAGATAAGCAGACAACTGATGGCTAAAAAAGAGCATAACAAAAATGAGGCAGAGAAGATTTTTTTCAGAACTGATATGATTGATAGTATCAAGTCTGAGAGTATAGGCAACTACACTGAAGATGTTAAGACTCTATGATACACATTCTGGTTTGATAACCACTGGTTTTTGAAGTTCTATACTATATACAAAGTTGTGTTTTATTAATACTGTTATGTGCTGATATATTCAATTATACTATGTCTGATGATATAGCCAATTCTATTGGAGATAACAAGAGACAACACAGGAACCATGTTAGAACACTTTGTACAATGGTCTTATATTGTTTATTTTGGTCTTATACTGTTTATTTTGTTTCATGTGTTTACAGGAATACGTTTTGTTTTGCCTTGCTTTGGTTTGTTTCTCCCTCTAATACAGAAAGGATAGAAATACATGTTAAGACTCATGCATGTGTAGAATCTATAAACAGTTTATGAGAACTGATCTTATGACACATGATGAAATGAATAGATACTTTGAAGAAAAAGATACACTAAAATATCCAGTGCTGATCCTGGAATGTCATAATGTGAAACCCAGCAATAGTATTATTCTTTGTTCAGAGTGATATTAGCCTGCTTGGGTTTATTCAATATCAACGTAATTGAAGATATGGATAACTGCATGTATGTTTAAGTGTATAGGATTGATAACCATATTTCTAAGTTTTTGTTGGATAGTTGAACAGAACTGGTTGCAGTCTCACTGTTTGAATCCCCACTTTATATGCTCCACTTTAGTATCTTGAAAAACTATTTGTAAGAAGACAATCTGTAATCATCAACTAGTGATTTCTTACTGTTTATTTTTTCTTTGAAATTATGTATTATTTCTACTAGTTTTCTGTTTTGTTTATTCTTTCTTTAAATTAAATCTTAAAAAAAAGACACTACAGTACCCAATGCTGATCACGGAGTGTCATGATATGAAATCCAACAATACTATTATTCTTTGTTCAGAATGATTTTAACCTGCTTTAGTTGTTTAATCTAAACATGGATGAAGATATGGATATGCATGTATGCTTAAGTGTATAGGATTGACAACCATGTTACTAAGTTTTTGTTGGACAGTTGAACAGAACTGTTTGCAGTCTCTCTGTTTGAATTCACACTTTACATGTTCCATTTTTGTATCTTGAACAACTGTTTGTAAAATGACAATATATAAACATGAACTAGCGATTTTTTACTATTTATTTATTTTCTCTGAATGTATGTATTTTTTCTACCTATTTTCTGTTTTGTTTAGTCTTTCTTTAAATAAAATTTTTTAAAAAAATGTGCTGTAACCAACTTGAGTGATGTGTTAGTTTTTTGCAACTGTGCCAAAATACCTGAGAAAATTAGTGTGAAGGAAGGTTTATTTTGGTTCATAGCTTCAGGCTGTGGATGGCTGGTCCCATTGTTTCTGCGTCTGTGGTGAAACCAAACATCATGGTGCAAAGTTATGGTGGAGCCAAGATGCCAGGAAGACAGAGAGAGAGAAAGAGAGAGAGAGAGAGAGAGAGAGAGAGAGAGAGAGAGAAAGGAGGAAGAAGAACAGAAGGAAGGAGAGAAAGGAGGAGGACAGGAGAGGACACAGTGACAAAAAAAAAAAAACAAGACAAACCCTTCCAGGGCCACCCCACAGTGACCTGCTTCCTCCAAGCAAGCCCTACCTCCTAGTTTCCACTGAGTTTCAATCATCCATTGGATGATGAATCCGTCAATGGATTGCAATGACCCCATCGCTTCCCAGAAGCCCCATCTCTGAAAGCTCACTGCATTAAGGGACCACCCAAGTCATAAAAATGAGTGGGATTGAAATTCACTTAAAATTTTGAATCTAAATGTTTTGAAATTCCATGATGTCAGCCAGGCAAAATGGGAAGTCCTGGGGAGAGGGTATTCGTTTGGGGGAACTGAGTTTCAGGTAAGTATTTGCAATGAGGACAGAATGTTTATTTAGGAATATCCAGGAAATTTGCTAAATGACTGTGAAGAGACAGGACTGAAGTTTTGCTGTAATTTCATTCACTTAAGTGAATCTTTAGAGGATCTATTTATGCTAAGAGGTATGGGAATTCAGAGTTACATGGTGGGGGGGCTTCATGAATTTAAAAGTTAGGGAAAATAGGTAAACAAAAAGGAACACAAAGTATAAAATTAATGTCCTCCGGGGATAATGTTCTGGGTAAGTGAATTAGATAGGACCTATGCACATGGCTGATTTCCTCTTAAACAACCTGGGTTGTATTCTACTTCAGCCGGGTCCATGAAGGTTGCCATATGTGGCTCCTCCTGTCTAAATTCCCTGTCTTGTTACGTGAACCATATGTGTCCAGACTGAATCCTGAGACACAACTGGGAAAGGTCTTTTTGCCAGTCATAAAGAATGCCAGTACCTCCCAGAAAGTGTCTATGAAAGTCCCATCTTATTGAACGGTAAATGACAGACACAGTGAGAGCCTCCCTTGCAGAGTTTTGAGTATAAATTACAGACAATGCACAGTGGAAGCATGGGTGGCAGTAGAAGCTGAGACTATGTGAAAACGAAGCCGAGAGGTGCTGATTCATGAGCAGAATTACTGGTTCCAGGGAACAGGAGTTTGGTAAAGACAGGGTACGTGAGGTATCAGAATCCATTGCTGGATCACAAGTACCGCTGATTTCTAGATTGGCCAGCAGTTCTCTGATGAATGATACAGTTTTCCAAGGTATCTTTATTTCTTTAAAGTAACCCTTCAACATTTCTAGCGCTCTGAATATGTGCCCTGGCATTTCATACCCCCTGAGAGCCCGAGGAACAAGGAACTCTTGTTGGTTTGGCTTTGATTCTCTCTCTAGAAGAGAGTATTCCATGAAGGAAGAGTCAGGATGGTCTTCTTAAAGCAGATCAAAAGGTTGTGGGCACGTGCAAATAGCTGTCTTTAGAGAAGAGTCTAATGGTAGAGGATTCCATTACATCTTCCAGCAGCCTGGAATCCCATTTGTAACTTTCAATTTTCCCCCTCCGTTTCTATTTCCCTGTTGTGATTTTCCCATTGCACACACCTGGGTATAGAGCAAAAAAAGGGGAGAGCCAAGGAGAGTTTGTCAATGTGCAGATGTCTAATTGCTGATTTAGGATCACAATTTGTTAAAACGAACAACAACATATAGTTGACTATCAGGCATCGTGGCTCAAATCTAGCAATTTAGGAGGCTGACACAGGAAAATTGCAATTTAGACACCAGCCTGGGCAACTTAGCAAGACCATTTCAAAATAAAATTAAAAAATAAATAAATAAAGGGCTAAGGAGTGAGCTTGTGTGAAGGCCCGGGGTTCCCTCTCTAGTATGGCTGCAAAGAAAACAAAACAAAGCAACACAACATTTCAGCAAATGGAACATCCGGATAGGGGCCTAGGAACTTGCATTTTTGTAAGCATGGCAATTGATACCGGAAGCACTTCCCTCTTGAAACCCTCTGCTGTAAGCTGTCTGTTCAGGAAAGAAAGGAAACGTTACAGTGTGAGGCTGCTGCTTCTGGGAACGCGCCCAGGACAGAGCGGTGGAAAGGCCTGACATAGCACATGTACAAGTTGACGTGGGAGTAAAAAGAAAGAGACAAAGTGTGAGGTGAAGCTGGGGTGTAGGCTGCGCAGCACACACAGGGATGTGGACTCACTTTGGGAATCACGAGCCTAGGTGACAACTGAGACGGGGAGGATGGGTTGGGTTTCTGCTAATGCCTGAATTTTTATAATCAGCATAAAAGTGCTATTCAAAGTCTTTCCCTCCTCTTTATTGTAGTCCTTTCAAGATTTATGGGCAACCGAGTACAAGAAGAACAGTGTATTTATAGCTATAAAATGAAAAAGACTTTATCATCACATACTTGAAGTTGCACAGAATACATCTGTGACTTAAGAATAACCACAAAGCAACATAAAACCAAGTGTGAATTCATTTGACAAAAATTCATTGCGTCTGTTATGTACCAGATACTTTTCTAAATTCCGTAAGATGTGGTATATGTGGGATAAAGATGTAGCTTAGAGGTAGAGCATTTGCCTCACATACACAAGGTCCTGGGTTCCATTCCCAGCACTACACACACACACACACACACACACACACACACACACAGATGTGGTTTATCAGAGTGTCACCTGAGTTTAAAGTAGATTTTATAAGGCAGTAAAGACAGAGGTTGACAGATTGACAGGAGGCTTAAAGCATTTTAAGTAAGGATTGAATTAACAGGATTCACAAGGGTACATAGATTCATTCACCATCCCATAAACCTTTACTGAGTGCATTATTTGTATTGGAGACTGTGGTTGGCACTGACAATTTACCCATAAATAAAATGGTCAAAAATATCTGCTCTCATGGAGCTAACATTGCCCGACGTGAGAAAGACAAAAACAAAATACACTTAGAAGGTGTAAGTGCTCTGGAGAAAAATAAAGTGAGAGATTGTATTTGGGGGCATGAGACCAGGTTGTACCATCAAAGATCTCATTTAAATGCATCTCATTTTAAAAAGGTTTGAGTTGGGGCTGGGGATTTAGCTCAATGGCATAAGCGCCTGCCTTGCAAGCAGGCAGTCGTGAGCTCGATCCCCGGTACCAATAAAAAGGAAAAAGACAAAAAAAAAAAAAAAAAGGTTCGAGTTGGTGACAGAGGAGGCTCTGCACATAGGTAGTGCCAGAGAGAGGCAGGCAGCAAATGTGTGGTTCCTGAAGAAGGCTACCTGGTGCTTTTAACTAACAGCCAGGACTAGCCAGGAACCATTGTGTACATGGAAGCAAGGAAGAGAAAATACAAGAATAAAGGCTCAAAGAACGGGGGGTGGGGGACGGTCACATCATCTCGGGCCACGCAGGATTTTCAGAATTTTGCTTTTATGTTAAGTGGGATGGAAGCCACGGGGATGGAAGCTATGGCCGAGTCAGGAACGCAAAGAACATGATAAAGGCTTTTCACCTTTTAACTGTATGCATTGGGCCCGTCTTTAAAGCTCTCTAGATTCTTTTCTTCATCTGTAGAATAGTGAAAATTATTCCAACTCATGAGATTGTTGTGATAATTAAATAAAATGATATGTGCAAAACATTTAGCAACTACTTGACATGGAGTAGGCACATTCTTTTCCCTGCCATCTTCCACTTGTCTCTTCTGCCTCCCACCTGGAGCCAGGAGAGGGAGGCTGGCAGCCTTGCAACCCATATAAGGGTAGAAGAGGGTGATGGTGAAAGCCTTAGTTAGCAGCCATCATAGCTGGGATTTAAAAATAACTATTATTGGTGGCTTAAGATGTGGGCTAGAGGGACAGAACTACAAGGTGAAACTCATACACAGCTATGTTTGGATCAGGCCTTGGGGTCACCAGGCTTCAATTTTTAAAAACTCTTCCATTCTACCTTTGTAGGTAGTTTATCAATGCAGATGCTGGGAAAGCTAGCATGTTTAATCGCCCCATTGTTTCATGTCTTAACTCCTTGGACGTTGTTAACTGATTAATCTCAGACTTCTAATTAATGTTTAAATGACTCTCCACACGCAAGGTCGCTTCTACTTCAACAAATAGTTTGTGTCTGCTTGTGCTTGTGCCCGATGATGAGTATGTGTGAGGTCTGTCTTTGGTTAAGACCCTATGATGGTTTCAAGGCAGAAAAAATAACAAAATAAAAAGGCACTTCCATCAAAAATAAATTAATTAAATTTTAAAAATGCTAAGCAAGGGTTTGTCTCCTTTGGGCCTGGGGCTAGATTCCCAGCCTCCCAATCGGGGCTGGCTATGATCAAGCTGCCATCGAGAAGCCCCAGGGTGGAAAACTGCCCGCCAGGTCTCTCCCTGAAGCCACGGCTGTCGCTTCACTCGCCTGATGACAGCTCGTTTATCTCCGAGCATGGACGCGCACGCGCCCGGGCGGCGGGACCCTCCGGGCTGCAGCGGGGTCGCGCCCGCCCTTTCGGCGGCCCCGGGGTAAGGCGGCCGCGTGGGTCCGCAGCCCCTCCTCCGCCGAGGCGCCGCCCGGCTCCCCAGGCTCCGCCGCCCGGGCCACCCCCTCTCCCCTAGCCAGCCAGCGCCGCTCCTCCTCCTCCGCCTCCTCCTCCTCTTTCTCCTCCTCCGCGGCGGCGGCGCCCCCAGCCTCCCTCCCCGCCCTCTTCCCACACCGCCCTCCGCCGCCGCCGCCGCCGCCGCGAGAGGAATCGAGCGCCGAACGCATCGATAGTTCTGCCCTCGGTGGCCGCCCGGCCCCGAACTCATCGGTGCGCTCGGAGCTCGATTTCCCTAGGCGTCGGCCGCGGCGGCGGAGGCAGCAGCGACGGTGGCAGGGGCGGCAGTGGTGGTAGTGGTGGCTTCTCGGCCAGACCTCCCGGCCCCCGCCATTTCGGACCGGGAGCCAGCGCGACGCGGGCACTGAGGGCGGCGGCGGGGGCCACAGGCTCGGCGGCTCCCAGGTGCGGGAGAGAGGTAGGGAGCGGACCGCCCCTCCTGGGCCCCGGTCGCCGTCGCGACCCTCCTCCCGGCGCCGGGTGGGGCTGGCGGCGAGTGAATGAATTAGGGGTCCCGCGAGGAAGGGGCGGGCGGGCGGACGGGAGCGCGGGCCCGGGCGATCCGGGCGGGGCGCCCTGGGGGAGTCTGCAGGGGGCGGCGCGGGGACGCGGCGACGCGGGGTTGAGGAGGGCGAGGCTGGAGGCGGCCGCGCGGTGCTGCTTCCTGGACGGGGAGCCCCTTCCTTCCTCCTCCCGAGGGCCTCGGCCGGGCGTGGGGGGGCCGCCGCGCTCCCGCCTCCCCTCCCCCGCGTCGCCCCGGCCTCCGTGTCGCTGCTCCCGCACCTTTCTTGCCTGCCCGGCGCCGGGCTACTGCCTTCACCGCTGCATCCAGCATCCCTAGGACCGGGTGTAAACTTCTCCCTGGAGCGCAGGCCGGACGGACAGTGTTCCTTCCCAGTGAGGAGGAGGACGCGTGGGTCTGAGGGGAGGTCGCGCTGCGGAGGCCAGGGGGCATCCGAAAGCGCCCAAGACCCCTGTAGGAGGTTATTATATTAGGGGGTAAAAACGCATCAGCCTCCGAGTTCCTAACTGCTCCCCTCCCCCATGTATGAGCGGTGACATTGCTGTGGCCACAAAGGAGGAGGTGGAGGTAGAGATGGTGGTAGAAGAACAGGTGGCCAACACCCTACACGTAAAGCCTGTGACCTGCAGTGTAAAGGAAAAAGTTAATCCCAGAAGGTCTGTTTTGCTTTGTCAAGTTAAAACACAGGAAGAAAAACCCAAAGAGCAGAAGCGGGGCTTTTTTTTTCCCCCTTAAAGTCAAATGCAGATAGCAATAGTGAAAATACTATGAAGTTTAATTTGCCTTTTCTGGTCCTCTCCTGCATCTCTTCTGTATTATTTTCTTCCTTACAGATTTATTTCCTATCCTAAAACAGTACTCACACGGTTTTTAAAATGGACTTTAAAAAGGAGTTAATTGTAGCCATCAGTCAGCTAACTATATGAAATAAATGCTCTTAGAGCTGTGCATGTTACAGCCAAAGTCCTAAGCTAGTCTTCCTAAACCGATAGCCAGCAAAGCAAGGGATTAAAAGCACAAAGGTGTTTTCTAGTTGTCACACGTTTGTGTTATGCTTGTAATGCAAATATCATCAAAAAATCATAAAGAGAAAACTGTGTTTGTAATAGTCATCTCAGAATTAACCGTATGAATGGTGTCACTTTTAAATGACTAAGGTCCAAAAGGCTTACTCCTGCCTGTAATAGAGAATAGACATCAGATATGCATGATATTGGTCTTTTCTTTGAGACAGTAGCCATCGACAAGCTTATCTGACTTAAATGAATGATAAATGGTAATTCAATTTTAAAATAAGTGATTTTTCCCCCTTAACAAAAAGGTTGGATTCTAGTCCCAAGTTGTACCCCTTACTACCTTTCCTAACTATTGGTGAAGGTAACCATTTGGAACTCAGTTCCTTGTAGTGGATTAAAATTACTTGGTTTTAAAAACCTGATTCGAGAATGTTTTTCCCCCCAGCAACAACCGTTGCATGAATAAGTAGACCAGAAGGTGTGTGTCTTCGCTTACACATGCGTGTACAATTTAACTCCAGTGGAGTATTTGTCTACAGTTTGTCCTGTACCAGCAAACTTTTTGATCTTTAAGGACTTCTATGTTCTTAAAAGAGGGTCTCAAAAATGTTTGATTTGTTTGGGGTCTTGTTCATATTTACCATACCAGAAAAAACTTTAAAATTTTATTGATTCATTTAGATACAGAAATGAGAAGCCTATTACTTGATAATGTGATTTTGTTTTTAATGAAAAATAACTTTTCCAAAGGAAAACCAAAAATTAGCGAGAAGGGTGGCATTGTTTCACACTTTAACAAATCTGTTTAATTATGTACTTTAATAGGAGACATCTGTATTGTCACATCTGCATCTGCATTTAATTTATTGTGATCACACAGTCTGGAAAACTCTACCAGACGCTTGTGAAAGAATGATAGTGAAAAGGCTAAAGAACATCTTAATATTATTATGGAAACAATTTTGACCTTTTGGAACTCCAAAAGAGGTTCCTGAATTGCAGTTAGAGGCTTTTCAAACTTTTTTTTTTCTGGGAGAGGGCAAGGCTTACAGAGAGTTAAAATACATAGTTTTTTGTGATTCTTCTCATCTCTCCATTCTCCTTATCATGTCCATTTGCTGTGACCTATATTTGGAATAAAACGTACCAAACTGGTTAAGATACCTATGCAGTGACCTTTGTCGCAGCCCCAGGCAAGCAACAGTGAGGGTAGGTGGGACCAAGCAGGGTAAAGAGCTGTCCTGCAGATCTGTGTGATACAGTAGTTTTTTAGCCTGTGGTGCTGTTTCTGAGGAAGCTCAGGAGTTAGATGAGGAACAAATTATCATTATTTTTTCTTCGTGCCTATTGGACAATTCTTGGTCTGCAGTGAACGGGATGCTTCACATGCTAAGTGTTTTTTGCAATATGTACACATTCATCCATCTAGAACTACATACGCCAGACCAGTGGGTATGTCACTCTTCTGCATTTTGATCTTTATTTGTAATTATATGTTACACATGAGGAAAAGGAAAAGGTTAAATGTATTCGTTTTATTTCAAAAAAGTTTTAAGTAGCTGACTAAAAACTATTAGGTTTTATTTTCTATCTTGGTGTTTTTGTTTTGTTTTGTTTTTTAACCATGGATCAAATTCAGGACCTCACACTTGCCAGGCACAGTCTGTGCTGTATTTTTTCTTGTGATTGTCAGCTGAAAAATTGTCAGTATTTATTGTACCTGTTGAGAAATGATGTACCAGAAGGGGTGGGTTACTCAGAAATGCACACTTGTATCTTTAAAATTTTTCCTTATTAAAAGTATTTATATGCAAATTTTGTTTAACTACATTTTTCTTGTACAGAGAGCTGTTTAGCAGCACTAATATAGGAATATACATATTGTGACTGATGGCCAGATCACCTATACTGAGTAATCTAAAATTCTCAGTTTTCTGGGTTTTTACCTTTGTTTTTCTCAGCACGCATTTCATTTCTCTATGACAATCCAACTTTGATCCTAGAACCCCATGTAATTCTTACTATCTATCCAGAACTGTGATGATGTTTTTAAAAAGTTTCCAGTCAAGCATGGTGCACACGTCTGTAATTCCAGTACTTGTGAGGCTGAGGAAGAGGATTGCTGCATGTTTAAGACCAGCCTGGGCTACATAGTGAGTTCAAGGCCAGCCTGGATATATAGTGAGACTCTGTCTCAGGAAAAAAAGAAAAAAGTTGTCCGTAGCTCCAGCAAAGAAACTTTCAGCATATCTACCTCTGATTCTTACAAGCCCAAATCACCTAAGAATTCTGCCAGGAGTGGGGATAGCTGTCAACACGTTTGTGTGGGTGTCTATAGGATGTGGAGCACTGGAGACTTGTACTGAGGAAGTCCCAATATGTTCCTTTGAGAGCCATTAGCTGCTGCACAAAGCTAGAAGATAAAACGACCTGAATATAAGCTAAAATAACTCGCTGTGTTCTCTAGGCATTTTTCTTAAATTTTGATGAGGGAGTTTGTAAATGAAGTGTAATTCATTACAGTACATATATGTTGTCACCTGAGGTTTTCATCATTGAATTTCAGTGTATCTTACAGTTTTCCAAGTAAAGGAGAATTTGTGCTAAAAGGTATTAATAGAGTATTGATAGTGTATTAAACTCATGTTCTGACTTAGTAACATTTTTATTATTTTTGTTATAAGGCCTGCTGAAAATGACTGAATATAAACTTGTGGTAGTTGGAGCTGGTGGCGTAGGCAAGAGTGCCTTGACGATACAGCTAATTCAGAATCACTTTGTGGATGAATATGATCCTACAATAGAGGTAAACCTTGTTTTAATGTACATTTTACTTGTGCAGGCTCATTCTGGTGCCAAAAAGAAAAAGTTTCTCTGAACATGTTCCTGAGTTATTTTTCCTGAGTAATTCTAGGGGAAGTTACTGAGTTATCTGAAATGTCCTTGGGTTTCAAGAATGTAACTGAAGTTACATGTAGGCATAGAGAGGAGGAGCCCTGCTTCTCTCAGGAGAACGTACAGGTCTGTGTAATTCACTCTTAACAGTGTATGTGTGTTTGGATTGGAAAAGTATATGAAAGTTTTGAAGAGGTAAATATGTTAGTTTTCATTTTATTTGTACCTAAAAGTCATCCTTTAAATGTAGCTTTCGATTGTTTGGGTTTCTTTGAATTTTGATCACACGTAAAGTTAGATTGAACGTACTGGTCATCATAGGTGGTGGTGGTTGTTTAATTAGCATTTCTCCTCAATTTTAAAGCAGTGGAGAACCTGCAGTTACCTGATGCATTTTTAAAAGCTCGTTCTTTGTCTAAAATGTGATTATATAAAAGTACTACAATCAATCCTTACCCTTATTTTGTAGTCCTTTTTTACTTTACTCAAGAAAATATATATTATTTTCAGAGTGTTAGTTTCATGGAAATTAGCAAAATAAAAGCTAGTAGCAAATTGGTACAATAAAGACCTAAAAGAGACCTTGAGAATTCAGGTAGATTTTATTTGACTCAGAATGTCCTCAGTTGATAAGAATTTATTTAATCCCAAAGAACTGCAGGAGATTTCATTAACTGTCTTGTTAGCTCATTTTCAGAAGGTAGTTATTGACATTTTATGAATAATCCAAATCTTCATGTTAAATTTATCATCAGTGATGATGTAGAAATAAATATATCACCTTTTTTATGACACACCCTTAGGTTCTTAAATTATTTCTTAGACATCTTTGCCCTAGTTGTGCTAAATGAATCCCAGCTTTTATTTTTATTCTGACGTACTAATTTTAAAAATCTGTCCTGAAGAGTTTGCTGATCTTTCTATTAAATCCCAAGCTGTGGAATCTAGAACAAGTCAGAGTTCCCTGTTTAGGTTTGTGCTGTGTAATGCTTTGAAGAAACACTTTGCACTGAGTTGGGTTCTGAGGCTTGAGTGGCCCTGGGAAAATGTTTATGCACTTTAGAGCTTTGTGGATTGATTAGATTACTGTCCATAAGGAAATATCAAGTATTTTGGTAGTACTAAAAAAAATGGAGGAATAATGCCTGTTTGCAAATCTTTGATTTAAACGAAGAGCCAACTTTATTTGGTTTCCAAGTTTAAGAATTTGCATTAGTAAAGAGAACAATCTAGTTAAAGTTGACCTCCTATTTAAGAGTCTCTATATCCCGTATTTAATTCTGACAATTCTGTGCTATACTGCAGTTTTGGGTTTTTGAGGAAAAAATAGTTCACCCATTTCAACGTGTAGTCCAAATCCAAGCTTATTTGGCATACACTTGCATTTAAATCAGGTGTAAAAAGAATTTTTGATAGAATGCAGATTAAGCATGTATGTTTTTGAGGGACTTGGAAGATAATTTTAGTAAAACAGCTCTTCATCTTCCCTGAAAATCTGAGAAATTCCATCATGCTCTGTTTCCTATCAGAGGTCATGAGTGCTGTGTGAATGCATGTAACATGAGGTCATGAATGCATGAATGTGATAAAATACATTAGCAAACTACTTGCTCAGAGTTGTTAAAATGCACTATAAATCCTGAATAGACAAAGCCAGTAGTTAATCCATTGTTTGGGGGGAAAGTAGAAAATTTTTATACACTTAAACTCACAGCTCTGATTATGCTTTCTGCTAATCCACACTTAACTCTGGGAAGCACTATTACTTGGGAATTTTGAGAGTGACAGTCCCTCTGTAGGGTAGCCACCTGAGGCCAGGTGTCTGAGATTATCACTTATCACCCAAGTTACAACTGACATCTTCAGTTCGTACTATTCAACTATAAGAAAGACAAGAGAATTTAGCAGTTTAGTAGAATTGATGGGCCAGACATGGCAACACTGTTACTGAGAAAAAGTTAAGGAGGGTAGGAGATTTCACTGCTGATGTTAGGTTCTGACTGGCAAATAATGTCAGAGAAAAGAGTAGACACGCCATAGACACTTCATACTTGGGATACTTGACATTTTCCTACATTAAAATAAAATGGATAGCTGGGCCTGGCGAATACACTTGAAGGGAGGAGCATGATGACTTCAAGGCACCTGAACTATGCAGGGAGAGCCTGTCTCCATAACCCCCAAAATAAAGAAATTTGTAAAAAATGTAAACCAAGTAATATAGTATTTTCTAGTGTTTAGAATTTCATTGAATTACACTGTGAGGGTAGTCATTGGGCCTTTCATCTTATAGATAAAATGGTCACTGAGAGGTTCTCTTCGAAGTGGTAGGATTTAAATTTAAACTTTCTGAAAAAAAAGTTAAGTGACATTTCCACCATACCTTGTATACTTTTTAAAGTGAAAAATTGGCTCGTTTTCAAAACTAGAAAATACTATTGTAGATCAGTTAAGATTATTACTGTACTGAAATTTGAATTTAGCCAATTAATGGTAAAGATACAGTAGAGAACTAAACAGGCATGGCCAGGTGTGATGGTGCATGCCGGCAATCTTAGAATTTAGGAGGCCAAGGTAGCAGGATTGCTGTGAGTTCCAGGCCAGCATGGACTACAAGCTAGACCCTGTCTTAAAAACAAAAACGAATTTAAAAAAAAACAACAACAACAACAATTAGTCATTAACAAATAGAGGATGTTTAGAATCAAGGAAATGCACATGACAATCTCTTGGACTTCTGAAGGTTTTATTTTTATCTTTGATGAAGTCCACTAAAGTGTAAAAGTAATGACAACTTGTTAGTGAGTCAAGATTATTACAAACTCATAGCAAGGTGGCAAGAAATACATTTTCATAGTATAGAGATCACATTATGAAAACACAGTCTTAAGTTAGGTTTTCCAAAGGTAGAATAGAATGGGGAAAAAAAATTTTATCTTAAAAAACTACAGGCAGTTGTAGAGATCAGATGAGTCATTAGCTAATATATATTGAGCATCACACATAATCAACTCATAAAAAAATAAGTACTTTTTCTCAGCTTCAGTTCTCTCGAAATTTGTATGTTAAGGTGGTATTCATAACTCATTTCTAGTATTATATTATGCCCTTTGATGAAACAGTTTCTCAGCAAAGAAAAGTGAATTCATAGTTGGGTCCATTTGTTTCATCTTTAGTGTTTTGGGCTAGGTGGTACCAGTTTCTTTGGGCTGGGTTTATCAGTTTCTCTATGTTTGCATGTTACTGTAGAATGCATTTTATTTGCAGAATAAGGTATTTAGATTACATTGTGAAAAAGTCTAATGTTAAGCCAATATAGAAGAGCAGTATCAGGAAAGCTGTACTTAACAATGAACCACGGGCTGGTGCCCTTGCCCTTTAGGGAACATTTTTTAGATCTGGGATGGTTTGGTTACCACAGCTGGTGAGGGAGGGCTGCTGGTAGCATCCATACAGTCGAGTCCAGTCATGCAGTTAAACTTGCTCCCATGCCCAGCACAGCTTCCACACCAAAGAACTACCCGGTCCCAGTATTAGTAGTTCTGAGAATGAAATCTGTGTGTGTGTGACATGTAGCTTTAAAGATCTCTTATGTTGTCAAATTCATGCCCCTAAGGTAAATTTTATTAGTTTTCAAGCATAATGTAGGCTTAAACTTTACCTTTTGTAAAACTAATATACATTAGTTTAGCTTTGTCTATGTTGTATTAAAAAGACTTTTAAAAGTGAGATACAACAGTTTTCTGGCCTGTTTCCTCTTCAAGGGTATGGCCGGCTCTCCCCCCCTTTTGTGAGTAGTGCCCTCTGCTGGCAACTTGTTTGCTTTTATAAAAAGTATCAGTGAAATACTAAGTTTGGATAGTTTTCTTATTTTCACCTGTGATTATGACCTGTAGTTACATCAGTTTGTAAATATATCAAGTTTATTTAAAAATCTTATTTTATATAATTTTTCAAGAAAAGTTTCAAGTACTAATTTTTCTGTTAATATTGCTATAAAGATTCTTGTGTGGACTGGTTAGGTCTCCCTGATTAGGTGAATACTGTGTATTTAACTAAGAAAGGAAGTGGTCGTGTAGGAGAACACAGTGGCTCTATTGGTAACACGGACTTTATTTTGTCAGAAGGACCAAAACCTGTAGTGTCTCTGAAGCTCTTTGCGTGCCCTCCATAGCTAATTAGGGCGCAAGTCTTGCAGCATGTTACAGAAAAGGCTTATCCAACAGTGGCAAATTATGCAGGTTCACATTATGCACATTTCTCTAGGCTTATCGATCAGTTGTGCAGCATCTACTTTTTGGAATACTTCAAAATTCAGGTATTACATATAGGTCAATTAAGAATAAGTACTTAATAAGCACTTAGGTGTCAATGTTAAAATTTATTGGGAATATTTTACCTTGGAATTTTGTAAACACAAAGCTTTAGTAATGTATAAATGGAAGTTGATAGTGGAAATAAGTGAAAAACAAAAATATTTTTATGGCCAGGCGTGGTGGCACTTGCCTGTAATCCCAGCACTCAGGAAGCTGAAGGTAAAAGGTCACTTTGAATTTGAGGTTTGCTTAGACTACATAGTGAGTTCAAGACCAGTCTGGACTGACTACACAATAAGACCCTGTCTCAAAAAACTTAAAGAAAAAAATTTTTGATGGTTTGGCGTTTCCTAAGGTTCTGGTTTTACCAATGCAGCAAACTCCTTAATTTAGAAAATATTAGTCAGTGCTCACTTTGTAGCATGTCATCTTTATGTACCCTGGATACGTATTGAGGGGCAGACAGAGCTCTGCCTTTATGAAACTTAACAGGTTTCAGATGCATTTTGAAGACCAGTATAATAAGTAATGACCTGAGGCTTTGTACTTTAGAAGAGCATTGGCTATCTTCATCTCTTTACCATTATTGTTTCAT